ACATACTTGCTCCAGCCCCACTCACTGACCAGGTCTGTGGTCAGTATCTTGGGCTTCTGGCATTCAGATCTTAATGCGCTCCACCTGCCCTTTCCCCCATGAGCTATTAGGTTACTGAGAATCTCCCCTCGCACCTGAAATTTGGAGTTTGGGCTGATTGTCTGCACTGAATTTTGACACTGTCCACAGACTATTTTTATAGAGGCGGTAATTATGATGAGGGAAAAGTGGAGCCATTTTTGGTTAGAACTTTGACCATCTTGAATAATCCATTCCCCCATTTCTGTGGGGGTATCTTCAAAGGGATTTTTTTTAAAAGGAGAGTATGTTCTCTACCAATGAAATACCATAAGGAGGTAGGATTAGAGAAAACTGGTTATCCATATATAATAGAATGAAATTGGACCCAAATCTTATATCACTCACAAAAATCAACTCAAGGCAGATTAAAGACTTAGACATAAAATCTGTAACTAAAAAACTCTTAGAAGAAAGCATAGGGGATGTCAAGCTCATGATGCTGGTTTTGGAAATGAGTTTTTTTTCTTTTTTTTTTCTGTGTGCGTGTGTGCGTGTTTTTTGTTGTTGTTGTTTTTCTTTTAAATTGACACCAAAAGCATAGGCAACAAAAGCAAAAATAAACAAGTGGTCAAACTAAAATGTTTTTGCATAGCAAATGAAACAATCTATAAAATAAAAAGACAACCTAGAGGTAAGAGAATATATATTTGTAAAATGCTCAACCACTGAGCCACGCCAGCCAGGCTAAACAATTTCTTTAAACACTGAATTAAGAGTAGACTTAATCCTATCGTTTTAGGACTTAAAAACTTTTCCTTTTATTTCTCCCTTTCCTTTTTCTGAATATACTATCTCTTCCTGATGATTTGACTTTTAAGTGATTGAGCAATCCCTGCATCCCAAGGTTTCTATGGCCAAGCCATGATACTTTATTCCCCCCACCTTTTTAATCCTTACCCAAGGATATGTTCTTATTGATTTGACTGATCGAGAGAGAGAGAGAGAGAGAGAGAGAGAGAGATCAGTTGCCACCCATATGTGACCTTATTGGGGATTGAACCAATCTTTTGGGATACAGGACAATGCTCCAACCAAGTGAGCCACACGACCAGGGCTATTTTTCTATTTTAAACAGTCCTATGGATTGTTTATTTTTTGCTTTAGCATGTCTTCTGTTATCCCTTTGACTTATTTAATGTTTGCTCTACAAAAATGTATATGTCTATGTATATGGATTTATACTTATATGTACACATATACACACACAAATATGTATACATATGTGTACGTATGTAAAAGTAACCAGATTAAGTCCAAGATGGAGTTGTTCATGGGAAGCCCTATGTCAGCAAATCAAAACTTAACTAAGTTTCTATGCTCCGCTCTTACAGAAAAGGAAGGCCTAGATCAACCAATCAATGCTTGCTGCTCAGCACAAGTTATCTAACCTGGTTCCAAGACCTCCCTTTGCTCCATATAAGTAACCCTGTTTTAACCAATCAGCAAATGCCCAGTCTAACTTTGTTTCTGTTCGGTTTGCTCTTTCTTGTTTCTGTTCACTTTGCTCTATAAAAATCTCTTGCCTTGTTCAGCTTTTCAGAGCTGCTTTCTATCTGCTAGATTGGATGCTGCCTGATTCATGAATCACCAAATAGAGCCGATGAGATCTTTAAAATGTACTCAGTTGAATTTTGTTACTTAACACTTTAAAAATAGGACAACAGGCCCCAAAAGGAGTCACTTACGCTAAGTCCCACATCACCCAACTGAGGCAGTTTCGGCTCTGACAGAAATGGGATTTCAAATTCGTCAATCAGGAATCGCCTGATCAGCACTAGTTAGGAAATCTGCCTGGTAGACTCCAGCTATCCCCGAAAGGAAAGGAATCGTGCAATAACCAACCGCTTTTCTTTGCCTGCTTTCTTCTGCCTATGAAAGTCTTTCATTTTGTACAGCCCCTCAGAGCTCCTTTCTATCTACTAGGTTGGATGCTGCCCAATTCTCAAATTGTTAAATACAGCCAATCAGATCTTTAAAATTTACTCAGTTGACTTTTATATTTTAACAACACATATAATTAATTTAAAAAATAATTTAGAAATTGAAGGGTTATTGGTTTCCTTTGAGTACACATCTCCTGGATAGAACACTTACCCCAGGAGGGTAGATGATAAGTTGTCTTGAACCATTCATTTATTACAGAAAATGTTCACATGACGTTTCTTATTCTGCATTTTCTTCTTGAAGCCTTTTAAAGATAATTTTAGCCTTTTAGCCAATATATATTGATATGCAAACTTGTTTTGTGTGTGGCTTTTTTTGACCTTCGTCTTTCTATTTCCTCTGTTCTTTGCCTTTAACACGATTTAGTGCCTTTCGGTGCTCATAGTCAGGAAGTCCTGTGTGGCCTATATCAGCTCTTTCTGTTAGTTATAGTAAAACTAGGGAAAGGAGTATGGGGGTAGGCCAAGTGACAAAATATTCATGTGATGAGAAAATAAACATTGTGGGGCAAAGGGGGAGGGGAAGAGAGGGAAATGGAAGAAAGGTAGGGAAAATATAAATAAATAAGAGAAAACTGGGAAGAAGGGGAGGGTAAAGAGAGAGCCCTTTAAAAACCAATTTGACTTAGAACCTTCAGGCAGTCTTAATGAATCCTGCCCACACAGTGGTCAACCTGTACTGTGTTAACTCAGAATTTATGCCTCCTGTATGGTAAATGGGCACATGGGCCCCTTCCCTTGCTCCAACTCCCCGTCCCAAACTCTGGGAAATAAAGTGAAGGCCATCTGTAAGCAGACTGTGAGACCTTGGGAACCTGACCAGCAACTTGGTTGAAGAAAGGCCAAAGAGAAACTGCTAGATGTGAGCCTGGATTGTAACCAACTACTATTTGCATCTGTGTACCTCTCCCTGCATGCCCTGTTTTTGTTTTCTGAACTCTATAAAACCTTGTGTGGTGGCAGCAAACCAATAGCATTGGCCAGCTGCCCCTAGTGTGGCCTGTCCACAGGCCCGATGGTACTTAGCGGGACAACTTCACCAGTGGCAGCTGGTACGGTGGTAAATTTCACTGGTTGGCTGCCACCAGGGCACACGTGAGTCCTTATAAACCCATGTCTTTCACAGCCAGTCCTCCAGGTTATTACTTTGGAATCCACAAATTATACACTGAGGTTTTCTGGGACCTCAGCACTTCACATAACACTGCCACTAGTACTTACCTACTTTGAAATACTCTCCATGAAGTGTTCCACTGCAAGGTGACATAAGAACCTGACCACGCTTTCACACATTATGTGGAGCTTTCTAGGTACAGGAGCATCCACAAACGAAATCTGAAGGTGGACTCAGGACTGAGGTCCTAAAGGAGGCAATCTGAAGATTGTAATCTTGGCCAAACCTCTTGCTCTGGTGCAGTGGAGCCTCTCTGCCAATCCAGTCAGTAGTGTTTACATCATTTGGAATGGAGAGTGATATCAGATATTATCTAATTCAGCCTCATCTTGGCTGCACCACATTACCCTGTGGGTGACGTCAACCAAGCATAATAAAATCAGGAGGCTTTGGCTAGAAACAAATGATAAAGATTTATTCAAGGGCCGTAGGGTTTGCAAACTGTAAACACAATTAGGCATTATTCAGAGTGTTCTGAAGCAAAAAGAAAAGCTAAGAGTAAGAGTACATTCTTGAGGAGAATCCATCCTGAATTCTTAGCTGCTGGATGGTCCAAGATGGTAATATTCTAGAAGATGACTGGTGGTCTGGGTAACGGATGTCAGACAGTTTGGATATTAGCAAGCCTGGATACGGGAATATTCTTTCCTTAGTCCTTCAGGGGGTAATCAGGTTACTTGGAGGTTTGATGTATATCCGGGCATTGATACAGGACTGCAAAGTTCAAAAGCTTAAGTTCCCAGGTTAGTTAAAATAAGACTATAATTGTTTCCTCACACTTGAACCTATTTGACTTTAGAAATTTAACAACTTGACTATAGTGACTCCACTTTATTTCTTCACTCTATTCCTCAGTGAATTAACCATCTGTCTCAATTTTCTCAACTATAAAACAAGATTAAAATATTACCTACTTCAAACAGGGTGTTATTAAAATAATGTAAGTCAATATGCCACATATAAATGTAAAACACTTTGAACCATGCCTATAGTAAGTGCTTAAAAAATGAGAGCTATTAAAACAGAATTGCCTTAGGAGAAACCTGTAATTGCAAATATCAACTCTTCTTCTATGCCAGCACATTTCAAAGTGTGGTGTGGGGACCACTGGGGGGTGTGTTCTGAGGACCATTTTTAGTGGTCCATGGAGTAAAAGCTATTTCCTTTTTTTAAATACTTACCGGAGGATTTTAGAGAGAGGGAGAGAAAGAGAGAAACATCCAGGTCAAAGAGAAACATTGGTTACCTCTTGAACCTGCAACCTAAGTATGTGCCCTGACCAAGAATCAAACCCATAACCTTTTGGGGTACAGGACGACACTCCAACCAACTGAGCCACCGGGCCAGGGACAAAACTATTGTCTTCATGTAACCAATCCAGGTAAGTGGGTTTGGTGCGTGTTGCACAACTGAAAAGGCAGTGGTCTTTTGCAGAGAGGATTCATTTTGAGGCAACTTTGGGGTCCTCAATACATTTTTTAAGAGTAAAATGGGATCCTGTGAACAAAGTTTGAGAAGCCATGCTATGATGCAACTCATGACCGAGTACATGTGGATGCCCTGTGATCGCCACGTCACGTTTTCCAGACTGTATACTTTCTTCTTGTGGTTTCTGTCCGGACTGAATTCCTTCCTTTTCTGCCTGTCAAAGTCCTACCGCTCCCTCCAGGGCATCTAATTCTCTCTGAAGCTGGTCCAAATTCCGCTCCCTATTCTCTTCCCGGCGTGCTGGGCCCTTTGGGGAC